AGCATCATAGGAGCAGAGAGGCCTCTCTGCTCCTATGATGCTGCTTGGCCTGCTGTGTTCATCCAGCCCTGCACCTTGTTGTCTTGTATAATAATATGGTTCCACTTTGGGATGTTGTGTAACTTAGAGGGGAGCTTGCAGGTGGTGGTGTTCCCATGCATCTGCTGTACTTGTTCAACTTCGTGCTAGATGCTGCAGGTTTGAAAGATGCTGTTGAAGAAAGCTTGGTGAGTTGCTTCAGTGCAGCTTGATGATGGTACACACTGCTGTTGAAGGTGATGAATGAAGTGCCAGTTAAGTGAGCTACTCTCTTTTGAATGGTAACAAGCACCTTGAGCACTGTTGAAGCCTTCCTTATCCAGGCCAGTGAACAGTATTCCATCACACATTTGACATGTACATTGTAAAAGATGGACAGGAGAGTTACAAGGTAGGTTACTCACTGCAGAATTCCTGGTCTCTGTCCTGTTGCAGTTAAGTTTCAGGGTAACATCCAGGATGTTGATGATAAAAAGTTTAGCAATAATAATGACAATAATGTCAAAGAGAGATAGTTAAATTCTCTCTTCCTGATATGGTCATTGTCTTGAATGTCATGAATGATACCTGAATGCTCCACAATCAAAGCTGAGGACAGAGATAGTCATTCCTCCTGACTGCGTTCCATTGTACGCTACCTGTACCATCAGAGATGATGATGGAGGAGTCAATGTTGTAAGCTATGATTCAGTGAGCAAGGCAATGTTAGGCTGTTCTATGGGACAGCTCTCCCAATTTTGATACAAGTCCCTATATGGTGATGAGGAACATTGACTTTATCTATTCCAGAGCTTTGGCTGATGCCAGTTGGCCCAACAGCATTTATTCTTACATAGTTTATCTGTAGCAGTCTGCAATAACTAAATGATTCCCTAGGCCATTTTAGAGGCAGTTAAGAGTCGTTGCTATGGATCTGGAGTCATGTGTAGACCAAGTCATGTAAGAATGAAGATTTCCTTCTCTGAATAATATTGCTGCAATTCAATAATCCAGTGATTTCTAGTAAGACTAGATATGTATTCTAGATGTATTAACTAATTCAATTTGAATTCCTCTAACTGACCTAGTGGAATTGAACCCCTGTCTCCAGTGCACAAATCCTTGTCTCTGAGTAACTAGTTCAGTAAAATTTGCACAATACTTCTATTGCCAATAAGAGATGGGAAGTGTAGTGAATTAGATATTGGGGCCATAAGTTTACATCCCACAGAGATAGGATGGAAGTCTTATCTTGTTGTTCACTTGAGCAGCAAAAGAAAATTGCATTTTAAATTTAAATAGCACCTTTAATCCCGAAATCAAAATTCTACAAGACACTTCAGAGGAGCATAATTAAACAAGCATTGACAGTAAACTGCTTGCTTGATCAATGAAATAGAGATTAAAAACATTTTAAAGGGAAGAATGAGGTATATCCAAGTTTAGCAAGGGTATTCCAGAATTTAATGGCTTGGAGGCTGAATGCACAATCACCTGTGATGGAGCAATTAAAATCTGGTATATACAAGAGGCCAGCATTGGTGCAGTGCAGAGTTCTCAAAGGTTCATAGAGCTGGTGTAAACTACAGGGACTGGAAGAGGCAAGGCCGTGGACAGCTTTGAAAGTAACAATGAGAATTCTTAAATCTGTTGGGAGTCAATCTACAGTAATAAACATAGGACTGATAAGGAAACCAGACTTGATGTGAGTCAGAATGTAGACAGCAGACTTTTGGATGAACTCAGATTATAGAGGATTAAAGATGTGAGGCCAGCAAGGAAAACATTAGAAAAGTCAAATCTAGATACACAAAGGAATGGATAAAGTTTTAGCAGAAATTAGCAGGATGGCTAGGAGAGAGGAGAGTATTACAGCGGTGGAAGTAAGTGGCAGAGGATCAACCTGGGGTCACGTAGGATGTTAAAATTGCAAGAATCTAGTTCATTCGTGGACAGTGATCAGGAAGTGGGCAGGAGTCAGTGGCCAAAACACAGAGACATAAATCAGCACAAAATTCCCTAAATTTGAAATTCATTGCTAATGAACTCACAATCTTACTTAAGAGACTGCAGGATGCTTAACGTGTAACTGAAAATGTTACACTATTATAGCAGCAGTAGCACTTCGGAAGTTTGGCTCAAGAACATTAATAGAGCAATGTACAGGCAATTTTATTGGAATTTTAATTTTATCATATCTGAATTAGAAACCTTGACAGTGACAATGGAGCCTTGAAATATGTTACCATCTCAGCTTTAGAAGCAAACTTTCACAACACACAAAGAAATACAGAAATAGCTGAGAAAACTCAGCATCTTTGGAGAGAAAGCAGACAGAAGTTCTGAAGAAGGGCCACTGGACCTGAAATGTTAACTTTCTCCCCACAGATGCTGCCAGACTTGAGTTTCTCCAGCAATTTCTGTCTTTTTTTCAGATTTCCAATATCTGCAGTTTTATTTTGAGTAGTGATTAATTCACAAAGCGCAATTTTTCATCACTCTTTCTCAGACGTAGTTTGACCTGTTATCCAGTTCCATCATTTTCTGTTTTTGCTGAAATTTCTGCATCTTATCTTTTTTGTAACAAATAAGCCATTTCCCTAAATCAAACTTGTGTTAGTATATGAAATCATACCTTTCTTGCTTCACAAGGAGAACACACTGTCCATTGTGCCCACTGGCCAAGTTGACAGTCAAGTGGGACTACACTTCGGATTTTTCGGCCAGAATGATGCGTGCAACAATGTTTTGAACTAGGATGAAATAACAAAATTTGTTCAAAATGGCAACATATTTTTTCAGCATAAAACAAGTTGTTTACTGGTGGTTATTGTTAATGGTAAGAATGGTTTGATGTACTAGAAATAACAATACACTCTTTACATCCACAGTTATTAGGGCAGATGAAAGAGGTTTAAAATTTTAATCCTTCCTTCAAGGGAGAACAAGCAATATAGTCAATTACATTCTTTCTACTCAGCAAACTGGAAATGTAAAAGTATGCTTCTGTTGCTGCCCATTGGCAACTGTCTATTCTCCACTGCTCCAGCTAGAAGCAATCTGCCACCTCTCACATAGCGGAACTAAAATAGCAGTAACTGCAAAAGTAAATCCTGCTGAATATGAAAGAATAATATATAATTCTAAGGAATTGTGAATAGATATCAATAAACTCATGTTTGGTTGGATACCATTGGCATATTGCTAAACGAATAGGATAACCCTTACTCTGTCATATACAATTGTGGGCAGTGTAAAAGTACAAGTAGAACAGCAAATTCAAGTAGGAGCTATTGTATCTATTAAGAACAAAGGTTTTAGAGACCACTGTTTTACAATTGAGCCGAGCAGCTGCCTGAAGGGGCTCATGGTGCCAACACAAACTCATTTGAGTCTAAAACTTATAATGATGAGGGTGGGACTTCCTTGAAATAACTCCACAGAGGCTGGTATCCCATCACCAAGTCACTCCTTATTTACACGTGGAGAGTCCTTGACACTTGTCCAGCTCCCTCAGAGCCAGCTCACAGGGTGACCAGAACCTATGACACTCCCGTTTATATCTGTCAGCTGGGACTCACTGATTCAACCAGATTAACAGCCCCAATCAGGGAACTCATATTCTATGATGCCCATCTTGCTGACCTCGTTTCAAGCACTAAATTCCTGTCAAGGAATTTTGCTTTGTTTTATTCAGAAATTACATCACTTAAAGCAAATAAGAAACAATAATGACATGAATTAAGTTTCTGGTCTTTGAGATTGAGTTGTCATGAAGATGTGCTTATGCCAAATGATGATTTCTAATCCATTGGCTGGAAACCTGAACTGAACTTCTAAAAACAGACCTTTCTTTAAATTAGATCAGAGACTAAGTGCCTTCATAGAACAAGGTGGCTAATCCTAACTTGTATCACTATACTTCCTACTCAGTCTGTCTGCAAAACCCAAATATGACAATGACTTTAGAGAGTGAGAAAAACACACAGCACTCATTAGTAAGACATGCATGGCAATCACTCGAAGTATTTGACTCTCGGAGATGGAGACTTAATCACTTGGACAATGGAACACTGATCAAGTCAATTTTGGAATTCTTAAACAATGTTATTTCTCAACCCATCTGGTAGTTGAAGAAGGATGTTCACATGACAAGTCAACCATCTTGTCTGTTTCAAGCACATAGTTTCTCAGCAGAAGAGCATGCGCAGCCCAGAGGGATGTTTTAGGTGGAGTGCGCCACTAGTAATCTCTACCTACCTATTGACCCAACAAAGTCAATGTCATGATGGTTTAAAACGTGAGGATGAATATTTTACATTTCGACATTTGATGGGCTCGGTGACAAATGTAGGTCAGCAAGCACAAAGAGGTGATAGGTGGACAAGACTTGCTGATGGTTACATTATGGATAGCAGATCTCAAATAAATGGCAAGGTAGCATGCCAGCTGTGAAAACATCATAGTAGTCAAGTGCAGAGGGAGCAAAAACATGGATGAGCGCTTCAGCAGCAAACACATTAGGTCTTGATTTTGAAGTTTTCCAAGTACTTAATGTTAAGTAGACAATCGGCAATATAATCACTGCTCAGGTCAAAAGAAAGGTTGGTGAAGTAAAACTGAGTGTCATCACTATATAAATTGGATAACATGTCAACTACATTAAAAAATGCATCAGCTTGATAAGGATGAAGGAGGACAGTGCACCAAGGTTGTAGCCCTGGAGACTTGTAATTTTGTGGCTTTGCTTAGAGCTATTCCTGTGCTGTGGTGGGGGTGTAAATGTTCAACTTTGAGCGGCAGGAAGGATGGGTGAGGATTTGGGAGGCTGAAGATGCTGGAGAAGGAAGAAAATTTGGAAATGAAGCTATAATTTTCAAGGAAAGAGTGGTCAAAGATTTTTTTTGAGAAGGGGTTGATGACAGCAGATATTCAAGGGGACATGAAAAATACCAAACGAATGAAGCCATTTATGTTATCAGCTAGCATGGGAAGAAGATTGAGTGATCAGCAATTTACTGGAAAAACAATCAGACAGGTAGGAGGTTTCGTGCACTAACCAGTTATGGTGAAAAAGAGAAACTAGAGAAAGATGGTAAGAGCAGAAGGTTTTTTTCATTCTTTTAGGGGATGTGGGTATCACTGGCTAGACAGCAACTGCTGCCATTCCTAACCTTGACAGAATTTAGGCTAGTGGGTAAGGTGAGGGAAGTGATGTAGCTAAATAACTGAACTTCTGTAGTGACATAGAACTCTTCGAACTCCTTGTATTTAAGGAGTGGAGATGAGAGGGGAGCAGGATTTTCAGAAGAGATTGATAGTAGAGAAAAAACCTGGGAGATAATTTGGCATTCCCCAGGATGAGCAATAAGTGGCAAAAAGTTTGGGTAAAGAACAACAGGGCCTGATAGCGCTTGTTGATATCCAGACAGGTCTCTGAGACAAAAAACGCTGTCCCAAGATTTTGGTGGGTTTTAAGCAGATGGTAGGAAGAGCTGCATTGCTCCTCACTGCTGATGGCCCGCTGCTCACCTGCAAATGGTGTGGCTCCCTCGTGTCGAATAGCCGCATAACCATGAGAAACTCAGATCCAGAAACAACAGAAGAAAATCTATGATACTTTTGAACATTTTGACTCACCTGCTCATTCCAATCAACATTTATACTTAATGTCACCAAAACCTCAGATTTATATGAAAAGCACAAACATAAAATACATTGTGTAAGGACCCCACCTTTACTTTTCAAGTTTTAAGGTGTACAGGCTGGGATTCTGGCCACTGGAGATGGATTGGGAGGTAGTGTAGGTGGTAAAATAGCAGTGGGAGGCACAGGAGGGAAACCTAATGTCTTCCAGTACCATTGACTATTTTCATGGCAGAAATGGCACCAGTTCAACCGAGTGGAGGATGATGATCGGTAAGGTAATAAACTGGCCTATTGCCATTAAGTTACATCCATTGTCATCATTTAACCAACATTGAAACAGTATTCGTGACGAATGGAAAATCTACCAGGCACACCAAAGCAGTGTCCCAATAGTGTCTGTGTAAAGGACTTCCATTCCCAAGGCTCTATACCCAGGGAATCCAAACCCCACCCCACCCCTTCACAGCAGTAAAGTTCACCCCCACAGGTTAGATGCCATGACTGCGGGATCCATGCCTCTCATTACCAGGACCTGCCTGCCTCACCCTGACGCATCTCTAAGTCTCTTGCAGTCCTTCGATAACTAACCAAAAAGGATGCACACTCTCCTCTTTGCAGTCTCAGAAGCAGCCACATCTACCAGCTGCACAACTGAGGTTGCCTGGCTTCTAACCCTAAGATCGGGCTGGCAGTTCAGGGAGGCAAACTGATGTCCTTAGTTAGATTGCAGTCCAGACAACAGCCTTTTTAATTGTCCACCACTTGTAAAATTTCCACCTCAGTCCAATGTGCTCACTCTTCCTCCTGCGCCCTGACTCATTCATGTGGTCCTGTCCTCCTTTTGGTCCCAGAATCATGACCCACAGCATACCACAGCTATAGATTCCATCACAAACACCACCACAAATACATTCAGTTAGCCCAGTTTTTCGAAGTGGTAAACACTAACCTGTTGCTGTTCTGATTCGAATTGGCAAAATGAGTAAAAAACAGCAGGCATGCAGAAGTTGAGAAGCAGCTCAAAAACAAATTCATTCTTCATGCAGTGTAATAATAATTTTAAAGAATAAAAAATTTGACAGTTTATATCAAATAAACTGCTACTCAAATGAAACAAACGTTTAGCACTGCAAATTCCAAACAAAGTATTGTAGCAGAATGTCAAATGAAAGGGGTTGAGCAAACAACTCCATTTAATGAATGATTAATAGTAGTGTAAATGTGGAAAGGAAAAGTTGAGCAAACTTTCCATTTGACTTTGTTATAGAATACTTAGATACTATATTAAACTAAATAGAAATTAATACCATTAATGCTCAGGTTAGAACATTTAAAATTGTTGCTTTGTAATCCATTTCTAAATGTCAGTATTCTTTAATACATAAATTTGTATTTTCTAGAATAAAAGATTTATAGTGTTTACTGTATTAACATAGTTATTCATAATTGGACTAATGTATCTTATGGAACCTTGACATTTCTATTTTTTTCACTTCAGGGCTCCCTTCAATCTATTGTTTGTTCACCATGTGTCCTTAAGATTCCTCCACACATAGGAGCTAGTAAGAACATAATTGGAGGAGATTGGGCAGATGATTAGCAGGTGAGAACTAAGACTATCTGACCTTCTTCACTTTCACTGTTTCATGAACCAATAAAGTGAATTAATTTCGATAAACATTGAGAGTGTTCTTTAACAGGCTTGTGACTGTTCCCCAGTTTGTGCATCATTTTCTGTGATCAGAAACTGAGCCTAGAATCATAGAATAGAATTCCTACAGTGCAGAAAGAAGCCATTTAGCACACTGAGTCTGCACTGATCCTCCAAAGAACATCCCACCCAGGCCCTCACCCTCCTTCTGTTACCCTGAATTTACATTATCTAATCCACTTTGCCTGCTAATCCCTGGACACTACAGGGCAATTTAGCATGGCCAATCCCCCTTACTGCACACCATTAGACTGTGGGAGGAATCCCGAGCATCAGGAGGAAACCCACACAGACAAAGGGAGAACATGCAAACTCCATACATACAGACAGTCACCCAAGGCTGGAATTGTACCCAGTTCCCCGGCACTGTGAAGCAACAGTGCTAACCACTGAGCCACCATGCCACCCCTAAATATTCAACTTCACTGCCTGGTCTGAAGTGGCAAAACGGATTGCCCGCTTACAATACATCTAGTTGGATTTCATCTATTGATCTGCTTTGAAACATACTGTACAGGCTTGCTGCATATTCAGAATTCCTCCAACTTTGTCCACATATCATTTCTCTACAATAAGTATTATAGAATTGTGTAAAAAACACCATCACTGGTGTGCTGGAAACACATGGTTGTAATCTTCGCCTTTGACCTAAAATGGGTTCAAAAGGTCAGTCATTTTTGTGATGAAGCTTCAATCCAAAGAAAAATGTTCGGCTGATTGTGGGCTGATTTTTTTTGTAGACCAGGAAGAGCATTTATTCTCCTCAGGACCTCAAAAACATCTTAAAATAATATTTGAACTATTGAGGCTTCCTTCAAGCTCCTTTTATAAAGAAAGTTGGTTGAATCACTCACACTTGGCACTAATAGATGTAGCTTGTGCAGCACATGCTCCAAACATTGGTTTTGAGAACCAGAAATGGAGCCTTATAACCAGCATAGGACATAATGTGCAGAGATAACTTAGTGATGTGAAGTCTACATTCTTGTAAATGAAGATCAAGACTTGAACACAGCCACACAGAGAGGGTTTTGATGAAGAGTCACCAAACTCAAAATGGTAACTCTGGTTTATCTCCACAGATGCTGCCAGACCTGCTGAGTTTTGCCGGGAGTTTCTGTTTTTGTTTCAGATCTTCAGCATCCACAGTCTTTGTTTTATTATATACATAGATAGGATGGTCGGAAATGGCATCATACTTGAAGCCCAACAGACACAAGCGCCAGTTCCATGTAATCTGATGTCACCATGACCCAACTCATTTTGGACATTCTCAGTAACTAGACTTAGACCTAAATGTACACTTTCTTTTTACTAGCAATTGGGCTCCTACTAATTTTGGGAAGAACAACAGGCAGACCACTTACACTTACAATGTAACTGGGTCAGGGGGTCGGTTACAGTTGAAAATCTCCCTATTCCATCAGGAATATAACCAAAGCTACAAGACATATGGTTCCAATACACAACTTTTACCAACGTTCATCAAACTACAGTAAAATATTTAGCTAACAATGATTGGAATCAAGTTTTGTTTGTGAAGATATTTTATTTTTATCTTTGCTAAATTTAAATCATAACGAAGTTGACGACAATAAAATTCTGAAAGGGAAGCATATTTATAACCAGTAACTCTAGCGTGTAGTGTTCAATTGAAGTTAAGGTCCCAGAGAGGTGAGGTTTTTCCAAGGTCTACCATAGTCTCAAACCAATATAAATTGTCAAATAGTGATGAATGACGAACGTTAGACTTACCTTTTCGATATGGGATCAGCAGTTACAGCAGTATAGTAATAATAAATAACCTGCTGATAGCGCACTAGTGCCCTCGCTTGGCTGATTGAAGAGAATCAAGCACTTGAAAGATATAAGTTGCAATACAGAAAAGGCCATTCAGCTTAACCAATTGATATTGCTATTTATCCTCAAATATAAGGAAATAATCCGAAAAAAATTAACTTATGTTTATCTATTCTGCACCCCCTCTAATGTCTTTACAATGTAAACTCCTTTAATCATTTGCCTTGATAAAGCTATCCAGTTTGGCTTTTGAAATCAGCCTTTAAATTGTCTCCATTTTAGGCCAAGTGGCCATTTTTACAGATTACCCTCTTTGATACATTTTGCAATGTTTTCCCACGTTAAAGTCACTAGGTAGATGGAAGTTGTCGTTGTTGACCTGATTGGGGGAATTAATCTGGGGAAATTATGAACAAGAGATTATGCTTTACAAGTTTTGTTTTCTAACTACATTTGCTGATGAAATGGTGATAATAAATAAGGAAATCAAGTCAGACACAAAGGGGTGAATTTTCTGAGAAGTGATAATCGCACTCAGATTGCCATTCCATTTCTCCTTTTCTTCAGAAAGAAAGAGCTCCATATTTTAACAGGAGATTCCAATTAGTTTTCCTTAAGAAATGCAGGTCTGTGGGAATTTTAGTTGTGGACATGTGAGGTAAACTGCGGTCAGTTTAATAGTTACTCAGGAGTTAGACTAGGTCTTAATAGTTTACTGTTCTTGAGTAACTATTTATTTAACTGCAATGAAACCCGGCAAATTGCCCAACTTAAATGGATACTTTGGTAGCCTGGAGTCACATGTAGGCAAGACCAGGTAAGAAAGGTGGTTTTCCTCCCCTGAAGATAGATTTTTACAGAAATCAATAATGGTGTTATGATTCCAGATTTTATTAAATACAGATTCCACCATCTGTTCTCATGAAGTTCGAACTTGGTCTCCAGATCATCACTTGGTGCTTTGGATTACTCTTTCAGAAACAATGCCAGTACACAGTTGCCTGCCAATGTGTAAGCAGTAATGTTGGAAAGCAAGTGCAGAGCTGCTTCTGGCTTGTACTCTCAATTGCAGCAAAACCATGTAATGTAGCAACACAAATAGTTGCACAGTGTAAGCCCTTACTACTGCTGTCAATGGCCATTTCTTCTAGCTACTGCAGAACTAAGCAGTTAACCATTCCATACAGACCAGCATGTTGTTTTCATACAGCTGACATTTATAAGCCATCATCAAATATTGTGAAGCATCTGACAGCAAAAGAATGATAGTGCAATGGTGGTACGGTTGAGCATATGTGGTTTATTATTGCAGCTATTGCTATGGAATCCACAGTAACGAGAGCATCATAAAACTCTTAACCAATAAAATCCATGCATTAGTTGTTCTACTTGTTGATAATTGTACCTTCAACCTCAACAAAGGCACAAAATGTTCCAAGGCCTTCCTTCATGGTTCCAAAATACTCATGCATGGAATATTTCAATCAATACCTGAGAGTA